ATGCTCAGAGAGTTCCCTTCAATAGATGTTACTCCTTTTGGTTGTTGGTTTTGTGTTTGGTTTTGGTTTTTTTTTTGTAGAGGAAAATGTTACTTACAGGAGCAAGTTCAAAAGCTTTGGGGTAGCATTCTTAGTTTTTACTGTTAAGTGAAAGAGCAGCCCCCAGATATTCTGGTGCTACTCTCTTTCTTTCTGTGCTTGTCTTCCTTTTCCCATGGGCTGCCCTGTAGTGGTGCTCCAGCAGTGGTGACGGTGAGGTGACACTCCCAGTGTAATTTTCTAGTGCTGGGGTGCAGAGTCAGCACCAGCACTTCAGTAGCAAGGGCAGAGTTGGTATTAAAAAAGGTCAGTTGGGAAAACTTTGTTCATTTGGTTTTCCTTTGCCTTGAGGCAGTGCTTTGAATAGTGTTAGCTCTTTTTTCTTCCCACACGATGCCTTTTCACCCTTTTTCCTTCCTGCCAGCTTTGACAGAAAGTTATGTTCAAAAGGTAGTGCGGGTGATAGCGCGCATCACTTTTGGGGTGGGAGTGACCATTTGTGCTTGGGAGCGTTTGTGCTCTGGGAGTAAAATCCTCTCCTCTGTGTAGAAGCTTAGTAGGAGACCAGTGCATCAGAAGCAGTTTGGAGTGCAGTGTAGCGATTCTTAGGTATTATAATCTCAAGGGTAAACAGTAAACTTTGTTTATTCAAATGCGATATCTCTCTTTGAAGTTCTGTTCTTGTCCAAATTTGTATACTAGCAGGTCTGGCCTTCATTTAAATGATCCTTGGGTTTTTTTCATGCCACTTAGAACAAAAAACAGTGGGAAAGCCTTGACTAAGCTAATAGTGTTGCTAAGATGGAAATGATGAAGAAGGCTCAGGATTCCTGTTTGGACCTCATGGGAAAAAGTAGTTTGAAATGCATGGTGGGGGGGGCTGCACGTTGCTAAACCTGTCATTTCTTTTCCCTGTTTCTTCTCCCCCACTGTGTTCTTTACTAAATACTACAGTATGTTTAATGAAGCCAATAAAACTATTTGGCCAAGAGTGTTAATCTTTCTCTGGCCCAATTAGTGTATGGCTTCTACTTTTAACATTAATGTGGATTTTTTTCGGAAGGCAGAACAATAAGCAGCTTTGTGCTGTGTGTACCAGGTTTTCCCCCTTCTTGCCTGTATTGTGCGTTTCTTCCTATCTATTCCAAAGGGAGAGCTCATGTGCAAAGACAGTGGAGCAATCTGGAACAGAGACTTGTACCAGCTCCCTGGGGCCAGGACGTGCTGCTCTGCTTGTGTAGCTGCCTCTCAGTTGCAAGTCAAGTGACTGTGACTCTGAAGACTCATCATTTTTTCTCCTTTCTTCTTCCTTCTCCTGTGGCCTGTGTTCTCCTTTTGGCTTCATCCATGATGCTCTTCACCAGAAGGCGAGACAGCTGTAGCTATTTAGAGTTGTCTTAAAACAAACAAACAAACAAAAAACCCCAAATAAATAGACATAAGCAAAGTGGGGGGAGTAACTGTTGATCGGTTCAGCTTTAACATACAGTGGAGTCACACTTTATCCCAAAGGAGGAAATAGGTCTAGCAAGTGTCTTCCTGTACAGACTGAATGGGAAGCAACAAGGTGGTGGATTTTTTTTTTTGTAAGCTCTGCTTTTGCAGTTTCTCTGCCATTAGCTGGCTATGTCGGGCATCAGGGGCGAACCACTGTCAGAAGCAGGAGCTATAGGCCCCTCAGTGCTCTCTGTGGGATGGAAGTTGCCCCAGTTTCAAGTTGTCAGCAACCTCATCAAGTGGAAGGAACACATTTCTGCAGAAAAGACAGAGGTCTCTTGGTGTGGCCGTGCAGAGAGGGCTGCATTGTCTTGTTTGGTCCTGTCCCCCCTACCATTTGTCAGCACTCTTGCTTAGTCACTTGCTCTCTGCTTTTCCTCCTTTTCACACAGGATGAATGTGACACTGGGGGGTTTCTTCAAAGTAGAAGATGACTTGAATGCTTGTGACCACTTCCCTGTTTCCTAGAGGCTTTGGTCCGATGTCGAATGTAACCTGAGGCTGCACTGTTTCTCAGCTTATTTCCTGTTTATCCTTTTTCCTGGAGGTCTTTGTTTTCTTTTGGGGAGAGGGAGGAAGGAGGCTCTGTCAGCACAACCTCTACGCCGGGGCATTTGGTGTGAGCTGGGAGGGTTTACAGTCCTGAAGGCAGTATGGCATAGGGCATCTGTGCTGGTTGCTGCCTGTCTGATTCCCTGAGCTTCATAGGTGCTGTAGAAGAAAATCCCAACACTTCCCCATCCTCAGTGATGCAGTTTTTTAAAGAGGAAAAAAAAAACAAAACGAAAAACCAACCAGCCCAAAGAAAAAAAAAAACAAACCAACAACAAACAACAAAAACCAACCAAAAAACAACCAAAAACAAGGCTGCAAGAGAAATCTCTCAGTATGTTCCTGCCTGAAGGCACTCTGCCACGGGTTTTCCCACAGGAAGGAGTGATTTGGCCCAGCGTTCTTATTGTTTCTATATCCTATTGCAAATAGAAAGTTATGCTTCTGAAATTGGTGTGTGCTGCTCATGCAGTTGTCTTTGTTTTGGTGGTGCATTTTTGTTTCATGCAAGAGAATGGAAAATACATAGGTAAATAAAAGCATGCAGCAGCAGTTCAGTTGTGATCTCTAGACTGCTTTCAAAATTGGAAATTTTTAATATGCAGAAAATGGTTTTAAGGACAAGATCTCTGACTAAATATATTCCTTGCCTTTGGAGGAAAATATTTGGATTCAGAAAAGAAAAATAACTGTTGGCTCATGGAAACTATAAAAGGCTGTAATAGTATAATACATAGTTTTCCTTGTGAAAAAAAACAGAGAGCAAGGTAGCAGGTTTGTATGAAACAGTAGGTAGGGTTTTTTACTGTGCATATATGCCTGCCTGTTCCACAGGCTCTCTCTGGAAAGTGCATTTCCCATTTTCCATGTTGCTAAAAGCAACACTAGGAATTCTGGCTGTAGTTCTCTGGGAAGCAACTAAGCTGTCTTTAAGTTACCTTGGCAAACACAGGAGTCTTCACAGTTACACAATAGATTTTCTTCCAGGATGTATCAGTGGTGACATTAATGTGCTTAGGTATTGAATGAAAGAGGAATGAATATGTGTATTTTGGAAGGAATTGTGTATTTTGTTTATTTAGGGGTTTTGTAAGGACTAAAGCACTTACTTTTTGTAACAGAAATACTTCAAAATAGTTCAAACTGGTCCTTATTTTTGGTAGTGCTAAGTAGAGGGAGCAAGCAGTTTTACATTTAGGCCAGTCTTGAAAATAATTCTGTTGCTTATTTTATTCAAAAGTAAGTCAGCTACCACATAAGTGATTGAAATAAGACGGGGGCAGGGGGGAAAGAAATAATTATGTTGCTCTTGAATGAGATGGACCTTTTTTAAAAACAAACAAAATAACAGTAAAGTTACAACAGTTAAAGCAAAGCCAAACAAATAAATGGCTCCCATAATTACTAGAGGAAACACAGAAGGATGGGTGCTTGGCCTCACTTTGGAGCAAGAAATCCCTGTGTCACAGGGATCACTAGTATTTTCTTAACAGAAAAGTACAAACATAATTAGGGAGAAGTTATTTTGAGTTGTTCAGGTTAGTCTGTTTTTCTGGTTTTGAAAGTGCAGATGGAAGGCAGTGTTTGTTAAGAGGTTGATGTTTTCCTGAGCCTTGCACTACCTGGGCTTAGTCAGGTCCCAGGTTTTGTCTCTAGGCTGCATCTGTGTGCCGCTCCTTAGAAGGTTGGCAGCTAAATGTAGGAAGGTTGAATCCACTGCTGTGTCTGGCATGGTGTGAAATGAGGAACCACTTGGCACAAGGTGGGCCCTTTCTTTTTGCCTGCCTGTTCTTGGGCACTCCAAATTGTTGACAGTTGGGGTAACACAGTCATTGATTGTTTTCAAATGCTGTTCAAACAGCATTTGAAAATGTGTTGCATGGCTGATTTTCATGTTATCCTTGAGAATGTCATTTTTTTTAAAAGGAAGAAACCCTCTTAACTGTGGTTTGAAGGCAATTGTCTCTGTTCCCTTGATAAAAGGAAAACCTGTATTGAGCTTACTGGTTGTGATTTGTAAATCTGAGATGATGAAATGTCCACGGTGTGTTTGTTTTCATAATGAAATAAACATTTTGCTTTTAAGGTTATAAAGGTGTATTTCTCTGTTAAAAACCTATCAGTAGTTTTCCATTTTACAAATAACCTTTTCCAGAGGCTATAGCCATGAGTGCTGTGGGCAGACAACTGTTTCTCATGTGTTGATCATTCCCCATCACTTCTAAAAATGATGTTTAACTGCCCTGTCATTCTCCAGAGAGAACAGGCACCCTTCCTTAAACCCCAATGATAGCATGATAAGTTTGTGGTTTCAGAAAGGGGTGTGGAAGAATTCTCTTGGTACATACAATGGTTACTTACATCTTCAACTTGTGTGGGAACCTTGGGCAGTGGATGTGAGGAATGTGCCAAATGGTCCCAGAAACCTCTGTAGTAATTTTACCACTGCTAGAAGGAAGAAGGTGGCCACCATGAATTCATGTACTGGAGTAAATGGTAGTCATCCAAGGAGAGAGAAGGGGAGCAGTGCATGTATGAAATTGAATCACCTAAATTCTCTAGGTGCAGAATAATCTTCCAGTTTCTCAATTAAATGTCACAACTGTCAGTGACATGCTAGCTTGCTCCCTCTTCCTCCATTTTTTGCTGCCTTAATGCTGCAGACTAAGCTGGTGGGGGTTTCTTTATTTGCCCAGGTTTTGCCCCTGGTGGAAGCAGCAGCATCTCCCAGCTCAGTGCCAGGGCACTCATGAGAGTGGGTGCTTGGCTGCACTGGTACTGCTGGAGTGCTTCTGTCATCAGACCTATCTGATAGTCAGGGGAGCCCTCAAAACAAAGGGCAGTAGTCTTACTTTCCTAAAATGGCTTCCATAAAAGCTTACTCTCTTTCTCTTTTCTTCTCCCTCATGTAGTGCTAGAGGGTGCTGCTGAAGAAGAGGCTGAAGAGCCAGACGCAACTGTACATACTACACTAAGTGAGGAGACCAGCAACCCTGAAGAGAGCCACAGTCAATCAGGGGAGAAAGATGAAGGTAATTGGTTCAACTAGCTCTGTGACTCTATAAATTAGAGCATTGATTAAGAATGTAGAAACATTTCTCACCCATCCATACACCTTGTTGTGTGAAGAGTATTAGATATATTGAACACAAGCACTGGTGCATACATTTCTTTTCCCATCCCTAACTTTTATCTGTCTGAAAAGTATAAAATAGGTTGAACAGAAGCATGGGCACATAAATTCTCAGCTACCACTGCAGGCTTCCAAACAAAGATTTTCTTGGCTCACAGTAACTTGGCACCACATAACTTAGCCTCAAAAAACCACCTGTTTATAATCCTCAAACTTATGTTCCAAAGACAGTATTATGCAGAGATCAAGTGTTCACAGATAAACGTGTTCCTCCTTGTTCACCCTCACATACTCTTCTGTTGCAGTGCCTTTCTCACAACACATATTAAGATTCTGTGCTTTCCACCAGCAGTGACAGAGCAGTAGACTTGCAGGGTCTTCCTGTTTCTTAGGGAAACTTCTTGTAGGGAAAAGGAGTGTTTAATTTGAAAGCCTCTTCCATTTCAAACCTGTAAAGAAGAAAATAGAAGGCCTTTCCTGTGTGTTTGACATGTCTGTTTGTTAAGAAACCAGAGATTCTATTTTAGGTGTATTAGAGATAGAAGCATCCCTGCTGCTTACAGCATGTGATGGAGAAGTTTGAACCTCGACAGCTTTAGCTGTGACATTAGTCATGTATGTAACACATATTCTCCATGGACTACTATGGCTTGGCATACCAAAATCACATATGTGCCATCTGTGGCAGTAAAGAGGCAATATGGGGGATACAAGGTTTTGTTTTGGTTGGTTTTTTGCTACTTTAGCTTATTCTGTATACAGAGCTGGTTTAAACCATGCTTAAAAGGGAACCCAGTACCCTACACTGTGTTACTAATGCCTTAATTGTGCAGTCCTGTTTAAAACACATACCTGCTTGAATGATTGCTGCTTGCCAGAGTGTGCATTCATCAGTACTGCTCTACTAGTTCATGGTGATCACAAGGTACCACAAATAATACCATTTCACAGCAAGAGAGTATAAAGTAAATCACTCTATAAGCTCCATATTGAATTAAGGTTGAAAACGAAGAAAATGGGAATGTCCTTTGAGAAAAATGTACACTTTGTCCTATGCATTCCAATATGAGAATCTTGTCCTGCTACAAGAACTCCACTTACTATGGCCTGTTGCCTGTGCTCCATGATGATCCAGCAGAGTGTGATGTGAGTTACAGGCAGCTGAAAATACTGTGGGTTGTTTGGGTTTTTTTTAAGATAGCCTAGGAACTCCTATGTGTGTTTTTGTTTTTAATTCCAGAGAAGCAGCTGGAAAGCTTAAACAGCTATAAGGTATCACCAAGTTCCCCAAACAGTTTGGACGGAGCAGACTTGTCCTCCATTGACGCCATGATGTCAGCAGTGATGAATGTGGGGAAGATTGCTGAAAACGGTGGGAATTCTCAAAATGTCAAATCCCCCTCAAAGTCTCCTGCACCAAATCGGATTGGCAGGAGGAACCAGGTACATAAACCCAAATGCAGGGAGGGCAAAGGGGAGACAAGCAGCTGCCTGGAAAGTGATAAGATGTAATTTATGTTTCTTTGACTGTTTGTCTTTTTCCCCCTCAGCAGTTGTTTCTTGCCCCTGCCATTGTTCCTCTCTGTATGTTTTCTGGTATCTCTCCAGACCATAACTTAGAAAACTGGGAATGAGAAGGGTCCACATGCTTGGACTGACACATAAAAAATATTTGAGCATAAGCTCCAATGCCATGCAATGTTGAGCTGGTCTAGCAGATGCCCCTAGCAGCAGCAAAGTCACCTAAGAATTGCCATTTTGTCCTGCTGCATCCTTTCTTCAGGTTTCAAGTAATTTATGGTTAAAGATGGTTCTGAAACAAAATATTCATCAGGATGCTCAGTTCATATGTGTAGTGTAAGGTGCCCTTAACTTCCTTGTTAATAAAAGCCTGAAGAGCTAGTGCAGAATGCCTTGTATGAATTTTGCAGAGTAAATATATGTAGCTTTTATCGGGTTTTTTCCATTTACCCGTTGATGGCACCAGGTGGTAGCAATATTGATCTAAATAGTGAAAGGAGAGAGTCGTATCAGTTAAGCTGTAGTTATTTATATCCATGTTTTTCTCCTGCTGAGCCAAGCTCCACCAAAGAAGGTGCTGTAGAATATCAAAAAAAAAACCCCAAATCCCTATGGGGATTTGACTTTAGAGCTTGAGGAGAAGCACACAGACTTTGTAAACGAATCAAGATGTAACAGGGACCAGAAAGGTTGAGAGGCGTGACTCATGTGATGTTCCTATAGTAGTTTATTAATAGCTTGCTGAGTAGCTGCCCAGTTGACAGACTTATGACTTGTCTTGGATTTTTTAGCATGAAAGGAGTTAAAAGCCATTAGCTGTAGATGCACATCCTTGAATGAAGAATGGGCAGTATACAGACAGCTGTGTTTGTGGGATTCTATTGATTAGCACCTGGCTCTGAGGTGTATTTACAATGTTCTCACTTAGGGGCTGCTCTGGTTCCTTGATTTCATCATGTGAAGTGAGGCACTGGAGTCCAGACCAGTCTCAGGGCAGTGCTGTTACACAGCTGTCCACCAGTACACCATGTGGTCTGGCTTCAGGGAAGTTTATTAGTGTTGGTGACCTTTATTCCACCTGGTATTTCGGTGGGCATCGAATCAAAGGAAGCTCTAGAGTAAATGTGACAGGATTAAGAGGGATTTTTACAGCATAAAAATAAACAAATACATCGAAAACATAGTAAATTGCCTATTTGTCTTTAGGCTGAAAGATTGTTAAAGCCAGAGGGGCAAATGGCTACATTACTGAGAAAATAGAAGTGAGATGTGAAATACTAAGCGGGTATCAATCTTGTTAGCAGGCTCTAATACAGCAAATTTCCACTTCCAGCTAGCAGAATGAAAGCACTGAATTGTTTTAGTATGTAGCAATGCAGGGACCTCAGATTCTGGTCAGAATATGCCCCTTATTATAATTTCAAGGATAATAACAGCTGATTTTCTGGGTCTGACTGCTGTTTCCCACGAGTTGGCAGTGAAACATTTTGCCCTGAACCTTTGTCCCAAAGTCTATGGTTCTCTTTATAATGCTGACTTTATCTTGGCTGCCGTCTACCCATAGTCTAAAAAGCATGTTCTCACATCAACCTGCATATATGTTAACTTCTCATTTGCTTTGCTCTTGATGAAAATAAAAAACGTAACAGAGGTGTTTTTTGGGCTGGAGAAAAACAGACAGACTTAAAGCACAGCTCCAAAAGCATTTGCCATCAGTTGAATGCAGAGCAGTTGTGCCAGATTGACTTACTAAAGGGAGAGTAGCTGACAAATGAGCTGCTAATTTTATCTTTCAGTTCAAGAACTGTGTTTTCACCAACTTGGCTCTGGTGGGGTAGCTGAATGCTGTGTTTTAAATTGGTGAATGGGGGTACTCTTACAGTAGGGATGCTAATGTTTTTTGGCCTGGATTGGGTTAGTCAACGGATTTGCTTGAGCTGTGTTACGGTATGCAGCTTGTAGCCTGTCTGACCACTGGAGAAAGTTTGGGTTTTGGTTAATAATAAACCCCAGATTCAATACTAATCAGCTCTGGCTGAGCTATAGTGTGTTTCTGATCTTTGCTTCAAGGTGAACTAGTAATTACTCTGTCTTCTGTTAATTTGCTGATTTGAAGAGAAGGCAGTCTGGAAAGTAGGCTTTGAAATCATCAAGTGCATCATGTAGAACTGCAGCACTCGTTTAAAGAGGAGGGGGACAAAAAACCAGAAGGGGGTTGATAATTTTTCAGAAATAGCCTGGGGATTAAGCATCATCTAAACTGTCAGCACGTATGCAGGGATTTTCCTCACGGCACAGTGTGTTTGTGCTCTGTCTTGAGCCAGCTTTTAACAGGATGCAGTATAATTGGAGCTGAACATTACTCCACGGTCGGGTTGCATGTAGTAAAATTAAAGTTGTATTAGTAGGATGGAATGAATGTTTGTGAATGACACGTTTGTATATAAAAAATTGGGGGAGGGGCACTGAGATAATGCATTTTAATTTTCTTTAAGTGTTTAGACTTCATAATGGCAGCCTTTCTTGCTTTCTTCATAATGTTTTGCAAGTGCTAGTACATTAGACCTTGGCCTGTATGTGTGGCCTACAGTGATTACCTTTGGGATGTAGAGGTTGGAAAAACATGTACAAGCAAAAGAATGGGGAGGAGTGGGAGAACCTAATCCTTTCATTTTAGAAACAAAGTCTCAAGACTTGTTTTCTTCAGAACAAATGGTAACAGCTCTTCATCCATGTCCACAGGTCACAGAAGTTATTGCAAAATTATTATGGCCCTGTTTTTGAAAACAAAACATAATAGGGGTACTCTCTAGAATGGTTCCCCAAATCATGCAGGAGGGAATATTGCTCTTAATGAGACATAAAAAAGAACTTTCTCTAACTCTGTGTCAGCATCTCACCATCCTAATGTGGCAGTGAATTTGTCACAGAGACTTGGGTTAGTCATTCACAATGTTCTTTGTGAGTGCTTGTGTCTGACAGCCTGGAAATGGTTGCTTCTGAGTTGATGACTTTGGAATATCACTGGGGAAAGAGAATTGTGTGGAGAGAGGAAATGCATAGACACACTCATATCCATCAGCTTGCAGCTAAAGAAGGGCTGAGAATGGGTTCTGTTTTTTGCTTGTTTTCAAGCTTTTACTAATAATACTTAAGACAACTGCAAAGAACTTCAACGAAAATGTCACTTGGCATAAAAATTATGCTTTCCCACTGGTCATGCAGAGATGGTTTTTGTACTGTCTTGTCACTAGAGGTGTGCATCATTCTAATTGAAAACTGAGGTTTAATTTTGAGTGCCAAATCATCTTCCTTTTAATATACAGGCGTTGGTGCATAAGCCATGCCTGGCTTCTGGTGAGGTTGTGAAAATGCCCTTTACATCATCCAGTAGCCATCCTTGTGGACAAATTGAGGCAAACAGCTTTGGTTCCTGCAAGTGTGTCATTTCATCCTTGGCTGGAAGAGTGGTGGCTTTGCTCCGTGTCTCAAGGGCATACTTAAATCAGGTTTAGCTCTCCGAGTCGGCTTCATTGTTTGTACTGTGGCTTGACCATCAACTCCTGATTCTCACCTGGGCAGAGAATGATGGGGTTCATAATGGGTTTTTTTGGAGTCACGTACACTCCTGCATTGTCACCTCTTTCTTGCTATGATCTCATCAGATCTTGCGAGCTTCAGAAGGGTGGGGCCTGGCTGGTGTGCCTGGATGGGATGCTTCCAGCAGAAACACAGGATGCTGAAGGAAATGGTGCTGATGATTCAGTAAATGCCACTCTTCCTTCTGAGTCAGCCATGGAGAACATGCAGCTCCTACAAAAGGGCACCAAGATAGTGCTTTGCCATCAAGATGAGGTGGAAAATCTGAAGTTCTGACAACTTGTGCTATTAAAAATCTTCGGGAAAAATAATGATGTTTGCCCATGTATTCTGATGATGTTCCAGGAATTATTTTCTAGTCAGCTAAATTCCTTCTGGCAGTTCGAGCTCCTTGCAATTGCCTTCACTTCCTGTCCTAAATTACTACTGCTGAGTATCTGTGTGCTGTTAAAACAGCTGCTGTACTTCTGTGATAGTTAAAATGGCCCCTGTTTATAAATTCAGAAGTTTCTGAAACTTGCTTGAGGGATCTATCACTTGATAAATGTATAAATGTGAGTTATTCTTTTAGCAGTGGCCTTTTGCACTTGGGATGGATTATGTTTTTCCATCTTCATCACTGACAGGTTTCTAGTCCTTTTACATTGATATTCCTTCTGATTATTTTGTTCTCTTTTGTCCCCAGGAAACAAAAGAAGAGAAGTCTTCCTATACCTGTCCTCTGTGTGAAAAGATTTGCACTACACAGCACCAGCTAACTATGCACATTCGTCAGGTATGCAGATACCAGCTCTTGCTTTCTTACTTTTATTAAGAGTGTTTCCTTTGCCAGGTTGCATTTTGCAGTGGTGTAAAACAGTTCCATATGCAAACCAATGAAATGCTTCCATTGTTTCACTTTTATTTTAGCCTTCTCTTGCATTTTCTTCAAAAAGCACACCCCACAAACCTAACCCTGAGGTGGGTAATTTTCCTCCCTTCCTTGCCTGGCATTCCACCCCCCCTCCCCCCAGTGGCTCAAACAAGGATGTGTGTCCTGTTCTGCATTGCTTAAGGTGTCCCAAGGATCCGGAAAACCACTTCCATCATGAGGCCTAAGTCCTGTTTTATTATCCTGTTTGAGTACAGATCTTTTTACTGGTCATGCAAATTAAGAAGCAGGAAGACATAATTTTTAAATCAACTCAGTGTAGAAAAGACTCTCAGTCTTGAGAGGCTTTTTTTTTTCTTTTTTTTTACTGGATAGTGCACTTTTTTGTCATCTACAGGCCTGTTCTTGCTCCTCCTGAAATATATGCATACTTAATAAGGAGGTTTGCCCTTTTCTCTAGCAGAAGGTTCTGCTTTGGATGCTAAGGTGTGGTTGATGACTGGCTTCACTAGATACTTATTACTTCAGTTTTTCCTCCTGTACTGCAACTGTTACTTAATTATTTTTTTTTCTTAACTCTCCTGGTGTTTTTTGGGGATTTTTTTGTATGTGAAGAAATCTTCAAGTCTCTGAATGCAAGTGAGAAAGAGTGGTACATACAGCACTGTAGCTATGGCCATAACTTGACCTTGTAATGCATTCTCATGACCATAGAAGTCTGCATGTACACTCAGAAGCAGTTTAGTTTTGTTGTCTTGCTATGCAGTAAGTTAAAAATTAATATCTTTAAAGAGAATTTATTTTTAAGTGTCTGTCTTCTGCTGTGAAGTTCATAATTCCATCCTCTTTCCTTACCACTCATATGGCTCCAAACCACTGCACAGCTTAAAGTATCCCAAGGTACCATTTATCTGATGGGTTGTTGCTGAGTTCCTCTGTATCTTCTTTTGCTGCAGACCCAGCAGAAATGCTGCATTGCAGGCTGTATGAAACAGCTACTTGTGCTGGTGCATTAAGGGGTTAAAGATGAGGGGGGAGGAGGGGGGCTGTAGTTGAGGGAGGAGGGCTGGGGAGGAGAGGTATCTACAGGGCACACCCTCATTTAAGGTGTTGTGCCAAGTAGCTCTTTAGAGCTGCTTAATTTAAGATGTTTATAGTTCTTGCTGATATTTTACTGGCACTTCAGAAGGGGCATTCAATGAAAAAAAAATCATTGCTTTCTCCAGCATAACACTGACACTGGAGGGACAGACCATTCCTGCAGCATCTGTGGAAAGTCTCTGAGCTCAGCGAGCTCCCTTGATCGCCACATGCTGGTGCACTCAGGTGAAAGGCCTTATAAATGTTCAGTATGTGGACAGTCCTTCACCACCAATGGAAACATGCACAGGTGAGTGCTGATCGCGTCCCAGGAGTTTGGAAAGGATTACAGCACAGGGGGCTGTTTTGTTTCCTTGGAGGGACTAGCAAAGACACTTGGGCAGGAAACGTGGAGTATCTGGGACCTACAAATGTGGTGTAACACACACTACAGCTACTAGGATGCTTAAGTAGTGGGAGGAAATCAGAATTGAGTAGTGGGAGGAAATCAGACTTGAGAAAAATGTTCTAGCTTTCTTTAAGTATTATTAAGAGTTGTTACAGCTTTTTTTTTTTTTTTTTTAGTAATAGTAGTAGTATGACAAATGGATAGTATGACAAATGGATTTTTCTCAGGGGATAAAAATATATAGCCCAGCTATATAGTAACTTCTAATTCTGTAGCTTCAGAGTCATGGATTCAAGTGGTTGTAGTGGAACATCTGCGGTTTTGTTGGCGTTATGTACTTAAGTATCCAAGTGCCACCAGGAAGATGCCTCTTTGGTATTTTTATCTTGTTTCTAAGTACATACATCAATATTTGTTTGCACTACATACAACTTATTTCACTATAGATCTGGCAAATTCTCTGCAGTCCAAATTTCCAAATGTAGTTTCCTTTGTAGGGATGTAGCAATATGTACAGTTGTTAACTGGGGAAACAAAATGTTAAAGTACATGGATTTTCCTTCCCCTCCCTCATCCCTTGATTCAGTATTCATTTATTTGCATGGGTGGAACATCTCAGAACTGATTAAGACTTCATGTATTCCCACATAGCTTTAGTCCCCATTTCAAAGAGTTTACAACCTATAAAGAAATAGTAAGACAGGTGGGGAAAAGAATATTGCTTACAAGCAAAAGGGCAGGAGTGACGGTTACAGACTGTTTCTGTGTGGAAAGGAAGTCTTGTTTTCCTGGTTATTACTAATAATTTTCCAAGCAGTGTGTTATAGGTAGAATGAAAAGGTGATTTTGATGACAGTAGGAAAGATAACATAGTCCTGCACAATAGGAGCAATACCTACTTGCGGCATTACCTTCTCTGTATAGTTTTACTCCTGTTAAACACTTGGGTGAAAAGAGAGGGAATGCAGTTTTGTGATTCCATATTTATTTAATTTACAGTTGATTGGAACTGGGGAGAGTTAGCAAGATAGATAAAAAATGAGAAGGGGAGAAGACAAAGAGATACTGGCCTTGGGCACTGAATAAATCACACATCTGACTCATCTGACCAGAGGTGTTGTGAGCCATGTTTGCCAGGTCGGGTCATTACTCTGCATGACGTGGGGGAGGCAGGGCCATGCTGAGTTGCAACTGATGCCACTGTCAGTATCCAAGGGTGACTTCCAGTGGTGGAACTCTGGGATGGTCAGATATTTGTGTCTGGGTGGCTTGCTGAAGGACTGCTTGTGTGGTTTATTTGAGTTTTTGCTCACTAGGCATCTCTTATGCTCTTCTAGAAGCAGGAAAGGGAGGCTTCACCTGAAACTTGACTCCAGGCCTATAAGAAATTGATGTAGTCACCTTTGCTTATACAGGTTTCCCCATATAGAAATTCTTAGCATGCTTTTGTAGCAAATTTATCGCCAGAATTGCCAGACTCAGTGACTTGCCCAAAAGAAGTAGAAATCAGTACCTTCTGATGAGAAAATAGTTTGGTTTTAATTTTTTCTCTTAACAAGATGATGCCTGAAGTTACCAGCATGGCGTGTTGTATTTACTGACCCCACTAAGAAGGGCCTAAGTTCATGAAAGGAAAATCTTGATATGAAAAGTCTTTTTTTCTGATGGGTACCTGTTGGTTCTGTTAAGCTCCTTCTTGTGCAGGGCTGCCCTGCAGCAGCAGAATGCTGTTCCTGAGCTTGGTATCTCTGCAACGAGTGACCCCCGACCCATGACAAGCAAAATCCTGAGCACACTGAAACATGCTGGTTCTGCTGAAGGAGAGTAGTGTTTGGCAGACTGTGCCTTCTGGTCTTTTTCAGTGAATAACTTTTTCTTGTTGCTGTAACTGACTGTAATACTGGATCTTGTTGCTGAAGGAAGGCATGAATGTGCAAGTAGGCAGATGAGGATAAATGCAAAGTGAAATCGTGAAATCAAATTTTTTTACCTGATGCCATGACATACTCACAAGGAAGACATTCATTTTGCCCACCAGTACCTCCTTCTGAAACAGGTATTTCTGGTCTAAGATGGTGTGAAGTAAATTTCTTTTTCAGGCATCTCAAACTTAGCTGTAGCATCATGTCCAGTAGACTGTCAGGGCTGTGGCTGAATCCATCTCACATCTCATTCAAAACTGCTTCTGCCTCAGGGTTCTAGAGCAAGGACCTGTTTGCCAGGTCCTGCCTCATGTGTAACTCCTGCAGGCCACCTCTGTGGTGGTGACATGTCTGTTCTTCTGTACCAGCTAGATGATACTACAACTCCATCTTTCTCCTCTTTTGTGTGCAGTTCTTTTATTGTTCTCTATTTTTGTGCTACAGTATCTAAGTAGTGACAGATGTATATGTCCAAACCAGAAAAAAAAAAAAAACAAGAAAAAAATTTCTCATGTGCCCCTGGTAGCCAGCAAGGTGGTATCCCTGGACCATTGCACAGCATGGGGTCAGAGAGAGGAGTTACAGGTTCAGCAGAAACTTGTGATGTGCTGGTAAAGAATCAGTGTAACTTGTGAAGGTCCTGCAGGAGTTTCCCAGGATTTACTGCACTTACACCAAATATGCTTATTTTATAGGAGATGAGCAAGGGAGAAATTGGTCCGTTGGTATCTGAATGGTGAGAAAAATATGTAGGCTTATGCCATGTCCATCCTCTCTTTTCTTTTTCCCCCTGCCATGTGCTGGCTCTTATTTAGTTGCCCATACTATTTTAAAATCCAGACTTTTAAAAGACCTTTTAGGGGAAAACATTCAATGGAATGGTTTTGTCCAGGGAAATTCTGTGCCATGGGAATACTTACTGCTGCTGTTCCATCACAGAATGAAATTTCTGATCTGTCTTTCAGCCTCAAAGCAGCCACATCATTAGGCATTCAGCTCAGTAGAGGAGGGAAGGAGACAAGTTTTGGTTGCTTTTTTGGGTTAGAAAATTATTACCAATGCTGTTACACTCTCAAGTGTTGACCATCTCCATCAAAAGTATTTTTTCACCACCTTCACTTTACCAAGGGAGAAAAAAAAACTCCAGAGCTCTTACTTGATGCTCTTTTGCATTACAGTAAAACTACTGTGCAACAGATGAACTTTTGTGGTGTGAGTGAGAATGCTGTTTCCTGCACATCTCTTCCTTGAGTTACTGTAGCTGTGCTAGGGTGTTGCATGTACTCTTCACTTGTGAAATCGATGCTGGCCTTCCTGACTCCCACAATACGTGCAACACTTCATTTGTAAATGAGTCATAGCCTCTCATATGAAGTCCAATTTCTTTTTGTTGTACTCTTTGGCTCCTCATCAACAAGTTAAGTTGAATGGGCACAGCAGACTGGGGTGGAGTGGGAAGGTTCTCTTGTGCAATACTAATAAGAAAAAGAGGTTAAAACCTGCTTCCCTTTCTGACCAGTGTGACTCTTGGCCAGGATTTTCAACAGGGAACCTTGAGCCCAGGGTATCTCAGAAAACTCTCTTACTGGCTGCCAGAATGTTCAAGAGTGACCTGAGCCTTCTATGGGGACAGTCACTTTTGGAGAGAGCAAAGGTCTTTGAAGAATGCTCAATGTCCAGAACAAAAAACTGTTCATTCTTCCTGATGTGCTGTCAGACTGTCTGCTGCCATATCAGTGCTGCTCCTACTGTTTGTGGAGGGTTGGTGCCATCTGATACAACAGCTGGAAGATCTGTTAGTGCCTGGTATCAGCATCAGGAATTGCTCTGGAGAAGAAGACTTGGAGATGATGCTGAGTTTTTTAGAGTTTTGTTTTTGACCAGTATTGGAAAGAGCAAATCTTCTTGGAAATAGCAAGCCTCGTAGAATCAGGAGCTGATTAGAGATTTGGGAGCATTATTTTCTTGGGGCTTTTTAAGAATCTGGAGGAAAGAGTTAGATCATGGTAGTTTTGAGTTCATCATTCCTGTAACTGGCACTGTAATGATCAGTACGTAAGAAAATCTGCAATTTAGGATATGCCTTATCCTCACCCTTCTTTGCTAGAGAGACAGACCCTGTGGCTTTCTCTCAGTCACAGTGAGTTAAAGTTGAATACTCATATCTCCATCAGGAACAAAGACTATATGGGAGGGGAAGGGGGTGTATAAAGAGTTTCTGTAGCTGTAGAAGAGCTGGGGATTTCCAGTGTACTGTCTCCACTCAAAAGACTGCAACTACTAAAGATTTTCCAAAGGTTTTCCATCTGTACTGTCATAGTAACTCCCTAGGGAGTTTATCTGTGAATAATGCCAACTCTGAGGAGCCCTTTTGTGTCTAGACTCTGACACCAAATAGGAGATTTCAGTCTGTTATTCCATCTCTACCACTGCTTCTCCCCAAAATGCAGACAGAGGAGTTAGGCTGCTGCTGTGGTTGTAGTGGTGGTGTGTGAGCATAAGGAAAGGACCTTGAAGTAGAGAAAAAAAATTTCCTTGACTTACTGTGTTGCATTCAAATAGAATGTGCATCAGCCTTCAGTGGGAAGGGTGATGCCTCCGCTTTGCTCCAAAAGTGTTTCCTTTGGGGGTAGGATACTTTGCCAGCAGTTCCTTTTCCATTTCTGTGACTAAGGATAGTCCGTGCCTATCACTTTAAAGTCATATTTTCCTCCCTGCCAAAGACATGCTCTCCATGCAAGTAGAAAATGTTAATGGGGTATAAATGCCAAAAGGGAGGCGAGAAATGACCTTCCTGCCAGTTTCCAGTGGGAAGCTATTAAAGGCTCTGTGGCAAGTCTGACAAGAGTAAAGGGATAACACATGTGTTTGAGCCACAGCTTCCCCAGTTTGGTAAATGAAGGAGCATTGTCCATGGCTGGTTTTCTCCAGACTGTCCGTATAAGTCTAGTAATGCAAACTAACTGAAGTGTCTCATTT